CATGAACAGCTCCAAATGCTAACGCATTTTCTTTGGATATTATTCAAACGGAGAAGGGATGACAAGTACTACAACCCATGGTTGGTTTAGTACGCCATTGGTGCAGTACTATACCCAGTCACTGCCATGAGGCCAAGTGGGGCTATATACATGATATATACATAAATAAACAAATATAGATATTCAGATATAATTTTCTATAACTAACAGCCAGGTATATATACATATATAATATGTAGGCATCGCTGAGGACTTAGCTGAGATTATTGGCTCCCATGGTAAAGGTTGGAGGTCTTGCTTGCCGTGCTTTTAGGAAGGAGCAGAGTGCCCTTCCTTGGCTGTTATTAGTTGAATCAAGCGAGAAACGTCACTGTCATATCAATTTTCTGGACCGATGTGGAAGATATTGAAGAAACTTTGAAGATCATGATGTGATGGTTCGCTTCGATTTATCACAAATTGTTGGAGAAGACAACGATTGACTCAGTGCTACTGGAGACTTCAGAGTTCTTGAACACAAGTCTCCCAAATCGGATATGTCTCAGAGGTCCTAACTTCACATTTCATAGCATTTCATGTTATTTCATGGCAGTTCATAGCATTTCCCTGGGCCTGGGGCTGTTTGGGGCTGGCGCTGCAGGAGAAGCTGCAGGATCAGAAGGTCGATTACATGAAAAACTGTAGGGCTCCTCAGTCCTCAATGGTCGCTTGGTCACCGATCCATTTGTCGGCAAGCTGGTTTGCCCGATCAAACCAAAAGGATTTGAAAAAAATCCTGAGCTTTGACACGGACTTTCAATTAGGCAACTCGTCGCGGGGATAGCCCAAGAATTTGGACGGTTGAAGAATGACATTGACGGAAGTTGACAACTTTTGTGGCTGCCATGGTGGCACAGTTTAGACTGTTTAGACCAGAAAAAATCTGATTCCACTGACAGCCTGTCACTCTACTTGGAGGTTTGGCCTCTCTGTACCAGCCGGAGAATCGCTACGCTTCCTTACCAGGCAAGGAATTGCAGGAGGCAACTTTCAACTTATTGGAGGAAAGGGATAAAGGGCATTTTTTAAAAAAATCACATACAGCATCATATATCATAAATAGACATAGATGAAGCGAGTAGACCAGTAGAGACATAGTGGCAGTTGGGAGAAAATACCTATGGGCTGCTCCCTACCAGCTCCAGTCCTTCACAAAGTCTGACGAAGCTGTCGGGGTATCCCTGAAAAGGCCCTCATGCAAGGTGCTCTCATTATGAAGGTTCTGCTTTCAGATCAAAATTTGCTGCACTAGTGTTGTTGCCTTCACCTTTGGCATGATTAGAAGCTCCCAATGGACATACCTTCGAGATAGGATTCAGGTTGCTTGAACTCTTGCCTTAAGAGTGTTTGAATGCTTTGGAAAACTTCACAGCATGCTTTTGTGGCAGCAAGTCGTGGGTTGCTCTTGTGGCAACTTTCATGACAGCACACTGCTTCTGACAGGCCATTCAGCCAGGCTAGATACATATACAGACGCAGACACACACGCACCAGCTGACCCCTGTACGATGCCACGCTTCTTGTTAGGTTGTGGTGGTGGCGGCTGCGGTGGCGGCTGCGGTGGCTGTGGCGGCTGCGGCTGCGGCGGCTGCGGCGGTTGCAGTGGTTGTGGTGCCTGTGGTGGCTGCGGTGGCTGTGGTGGGTGTGGGGCCTGTGGCGGCTGTGGCAGCTGCAGTGGCTGCAGTGGCTGCACTGGTTGCGGTGGCTGCAGTGGCTGCACTGGTTGCGGTGGCTGCAGTGGCTGCGGTGGCTGCGGCGGTTGTGGCGGCTGTGGGTGTGCAGGCTGTTGTGGTGGCTGCGGTGGTTGCTGCGGATGTGGTGGCTGTGGTGGTTGCAGTGGCTGCAGTGGCTGCAGTGGATGTGGAGGCTGCGGCGGAGGCTGCGGTGGCAGTGGGTGCAGCAGTGGCTGTGGTTTCGGCGGATGCAATGGCAGCGGAAGCTGTGGCAGTGCTTGCGGCTGTGGAGGCTGCAGCGGTTGCAGTGGCTGCACTGGCTGCGGTGGCTGTAATCAAGGCTGCGCAGGTGGCTGCTATGGGGGCTGCGGCTGTGGAGGTGGTTGCGGCGGCAGCTGCGGCAGCGGCTGTAATTTTGGCGGCTGTGGCTGTGGAGGCTCTCGCGATTGCAGCATTTTTGTTGTTGACTGGAGGCAATGTATTCTAGTACCAGGACCAAGATCTCTTGCACACATTTTCATCGCGTAATCAATTAATGACCAAATGATGTGAAATATAAGGATCCTGAAATGATGGTTAGACCTGAATCCAATTGGCATTGGCTGGGCTCAGCCATCCTCCTGGCTTCCAAACGTCCGTCAACTTCGACATGGTATGTTCCGCTGAGCCACAGTTCCGGCACCATGCAGCACCATGGCATGTTGTTTGTTTGTGCGAGGCTATGGCAATATGGCTTGGTGCCCAAGATACAGTAGTTTTTGTTTCAAGAAGCAGCTTACAGAAGGGTTTCTAGGATTTTGGTGTTTCTTTCTCTTGCGAGATTAGGCTGAGTCGGAGTGAAGTTGTGTAAAGCTGGGTTTGATAAACAAATGCAGTTTCAACAGTAGAGTTGTGTCTTGAAAGTTCCTTGGAATAGAAATGGTGGTACGATGGTTGGAAGAAGTGACAACTGAGGGCTCAAACATGTTCAAAACTAGGACTATATGATTCCAGCACGGATCAAGGTCCGAAACAAGCAAGGTTCAGTGGTGACTCCTCCAACTGCCGCGCATACATACTAGTTACATCTAGTTACTTCAAGGGGTTTTCCGTGGACATCATGAAACATCTAGTGAATCTGCTGGAAGTTTTGTGGAGCAAACATAGGACGTACCAAATATCTCCAATCCACTGGGTTGATCATCATCATCTTCCCGAGGCCGCTGGCTGCCAGGGCTGCCAGGGCTGCCAGGGTTGTCAGGGTTGTCAGGTTGGAGGCAAGCGGCATGGCAGGGGTGGGGCTGGGACATCTGGGACTCGCAAGGGTCATATGATGGATATATAGTATATATATATATATTTATACATATAGGCATACATAATATGATATAATATAATATAATATAGTATAATATAATATAGTATAATATAATATAATATAGTATAATATAATATAATATAATATAATATAATATAGTATTATATAATATAGTATAATATAATATAATATAGTATAATATAATATAGTATAATATAATATAATATAATATAGTATAATATATATATTTAATAATAATAATAATACAATATAACATAATATAATATAATATAACATAACATAATATAATATAGTATAATATATATATATATATATAATATAATAATAATACAATATAACATAATATAATATAATATAACATAACATAATATAATATAGTATAATATATATATATAATATAATAATAATACAATATAACATAATATAATATAATATAACATAACATAATATAATATAGTATAATATATATATAATATAATAATAATAATACAATATAACATAATATAATATAATATAACATAACATAATATAATATAGTATAATATAATATAGTATAATATAATATAATACAATATAACATAATATAATATAATATAACATAACATAATATAATATAGTATAATATAATATAATATAATATAATAATAATAATAATATATATATATATATTTATACATATAGGCATACATAATATGATATATAAGTTACACACAATACATATAATTTATGATCATCCTGGAGTAGATAGAATACGGGATGTTCAAAACAATTCCCATTTCAGTCAGGTTTTGATGACTATATATGTGTATACTGTGGTCATACAAGGTGGTATAAAACATAGTTAGCTAGGTTGGTCCGTAAGTAGATCAACTAGGGTTTTGCGGCAGATGTATCATGGTATTTCTACAGTTAGATGGGTTAATAAACCAACTTACAACTGGAGAGCACCATGGCTGGCGGCTTTAAATGTCACGATTCAGAAGTGGAAAATTGATCCCCAGTTAACTCATATTTTTGTACGTCACAGCAACTCCCGGCGATGGTTGAAGAGACCTTCATTTTTTGATTGGTGGAATGTTTGACAAAACTCTACATTGCATGGGCCTAGAGGCAACTGTATGATACTATGATTTGCTATGTACCTCTTCGCCTTTTGATATGTGGAGATACAGGTGGTCTTTGATTGTCCCAAACCTGTCCTAAACTTCATTGGCTGGATTGGCAACCGGTTTGGATGATTGACAGACACGACTTGCAAGTACAGCTTGAAGGATTGTTCCAGTATACTGGTGAGTAATCATGTGGTTACAAGCAAGCATGGAATAACACCAGGGCAGGGGGCTTACCGGCCACGACAAGTATCCACTTCTTTGCAGTCCGATGTTATTTCAAGAGGTTTCAAGTAGCTTATCCTGCCGGCTGGTGCCCAGATGTGCCCAGCACCCAGCATGTCAGGTGGCGATGGACATGCGCAAGCAATGCGAAATGCATTGGACTCCTTCTCATCCGCACGACCCTCGGGCCTCAGAATGCCTCAGATGGCCTTAGGCGAGTTTCAGTTCGATTTGAGCTGAATTTCAGGTTACTCGAATTTGTGCGCCTTCAGAGCTGTGATGCGAAAGAAGATGAGTTTTGAATAGTTTTGGATAGTTCCCTAGTTTTGGGGGAATCTTCTTGAGAATCTTTCAAGGCTTCGCAATCACTGAGGCCGGTCCGCCGCCAAATCCGAATCCTCCAGTGGGGAATCCGAGCAGATCTTGGAAAATCCAAATTGATCACGGCATGTCTGGTTGGAGCATGATAGTCCAAGCGAGACTGCTCACAACAACGGGGTGTCAACAGAATTCCACATATAATTCATTTATAATTCACATTACTATCATTACTTCACCTTTTCCAACAGCCTGGTTCCAATTCCATGGTTCCATGACAGGCTTGGTTTTCAGTTTGCTCCCAATGGAGATCCAGTGATGTTTGACGCCGAGGGAAATGGCTTCTACACTGCCCCCATGGATGGCACCTCCAAGGTGGCTGTGATGGTATAAACAGAGGGGCATACCTTGGGGCACCCTTTGCGTATGATCTTATATATTTCATCTTATTTTATCTTATTTCATCAAAGGAAAGGACTTGAGTATACTTGAGTTCTGATACGTGCCTATCCCGTATTCCAGAGGTAACACACCTTTGGGCACTGGGCCACAGGTCGAGATTGATGCCTTTTCAGCCTTCGGGACGTCCCATTGAGGTGGGTCATATTGGGCCAGGGGCTACGCATGGGCACAGGGCCGGCACAGGGTGAAGGTGCGGGTGAAAACACGAAGGACTTTGGAGAGGTGGGCAAGGTCCGGATGAAGTAGATCTATAATCTATATATATAGAAGCTTAATTGAGTGTACAAACTCTATAATTACTGCATCACCTGTGTTTTCCTGCGGCAATTCCTGAGGTTCCTGAAACAACTCTGGGGGCGCAACTGAAATTCGGAACCGCGCAGCGCTGAGAATGAGCCGCTGGGGTCCAACTTCCAAGAGTTTTGGATCCGCTCCAGGTTGGTATGTCGAAGGTTTGTCCATGATACCGAAACAATATTGGGGAAATTTGAGACAAAACCATATTGTCTCGTACTGGTTGCTTGATGTTTCTTGGTATATTGAACGCCTTTTTAACAAATTGTTGGATTTGAATTGTTTTGTTCAGTTGTTGGACCTACAGTGCGGTGACAGACTTTTCACCATGGCAATAAAGCAGCTGTGCAGCCAGTGCAGTGAATCTCTGAAAATGGAGTATTGATTGTGTATCCAGAGTTTGGTATGAGTTGATGTCATTGGGCAGCCCCTAAATTGGATAGTTCATACAAAAGATACCCGGATGAATTATCTTGAATATGTCCGGATGAATCATCTTCAATATATCATAATAATTCATAATATATCTAATTATTATCTAATCTCCTCAATCGGATGGTCGGTACAGTTATATAAAAGAACACAGTCCATGCGCACGCCGCACGCTGCTCTTTTGTGGCTCCAAGCTGCAGCCAAGCCCTGCGAGCTGGGCAAGGTGCATCGGACAAGGATGTCATGCAGGGATGGGTCAAACGGAATTGCCATGGTATGCCATTGTTATCATTTGTTAAATTATGTACTTTATTGATCTATGTCTATGTTGTTAGTCATTATATGTGTTTTTTGTTTGTTTAATTGTTATGATTATTGCTGTCTCATTTATTGTGATTTCGAGTGTCATTGTTATTGTTATGTATCATTCTTAGTGTTTGACGTTTCCATGTAGATGCAATCGGTGGGCAAGTGAACATTTCAACTCCTCCATCAGGCAGAGCCAAGGAGATGCTTGTGGTGGCCTCATCGAGACATCCCAATGGATAACTTCCAGGTCCCAAAAACATCCCCAGCCAATGGGTGTGTTTAAAGATGTTCAAAGTCCCAAACACCCAATTTTTTGTTGGGCTGAGGAAAGAGGCATCTTTGGTGTTTCGACCATTGACTACTGCACTTGATCCAGCCCGTTTTTCAGGGTCTAGTTGGATGGGATGGGAGTTACCGTTTGGGTGCGTCCTTCAGTTTGAAAAACCACCTTAGGTGAGAGGTGCTCAAGCAGAAACATTTGGAGCCACCAGCATGAGATATAATTAGTTGTGGGATGTTGTGGGAGGAAAATCAAACCATATCAAACCCCAAAGGGTTGAATGATATTTTCATCAGCCCTAAATTTCCGTAATCCCTAGAACCCCAAGTGGATATGTTTCGGTGCCATCCCAACCTCGAAAAACCTATGGCCCACAGCCCAGGCCTCACACGCCTTCCGTGCGCTGGGCGCCAAGAGCTGCTTGGCGTCGGGTTTTTTGGAGTGGGGTGCATCCCAGTTCCTAAGTGAGTGGTGGAACTAAAACCCATTGGTTTATCGTAAATATGAAGGTGTCCTAAACTGGGGGATCCCAAGTCACATCAAGTCACCATGAATTTCAATATTAATTGACTTGGATGATCTGGGGGTACCCCCATTTCAGGAAACCTATGTGTTGGTGTTCTACCAAGCTATTGAAAAAGGATCAATACAGTCCATTATTGCAATAACCATAAACAAGCAGAACCAGTTCGCAACTAGGTGTTTGACGCAGGTCAAGTGAATAATGATGACAATTCCAAGACGTAATGATAATATTAACAATGTAGTTGGCCCACGGCGCGTAGACGGCCGTGCGTTTTTTGTAGTTTTTTGTACATTCTGGAGGGGGGTGGGGTAGGGTGGGGTGGGGTGGGGCTAATGACGTCATGTGCTTTGCGTTCTCACACACACACACATGCTGGCCTAGTGTACGTTCTCCTGCAATTCCACAGATGCATCATGCCCGCTGAGCATATCTTCACATGGGTGGGGTGGGGTGGGGCTAATAACGTCATGTGCTTTGCGTTCTCACACTCATGCTGGCCTAGTGTACCGTCTCCTGCAATTCCACGGATGCATCATGCCAGCTGAGCATATCTTCACGTGGGTTGGGTGGGGTGGGTGGGGTGGGGCTAATAACGTCATGTGCTGTGCGTGCTCACACGCATGCTGCCCTGGATACGTTCTCCTGCAATTCCACAGATATACTCCTCAAGTTAACAATTTCAGTTCGGTATGTCCTGTTCGTTGGAAAAATGTTTCCAACGTTGCAGGGACACAGATGTTAGAGAGAACTTGGCAAAATTTTCAAGGCTTTTTTGCCAAAGCCAATGTGCCCTAAGTACAAAGACAAAGGGCAAAGCAAGATGCTCCCCAGTGTTCCTGAGTATATAATGTATATGTATATATATGTATAGATGGTGTTGGAGAGAAAGCCTACTTGGAACAACAACACCCAAGAAATTTCTAGCAAAGCTCGAAGAACTGCTGTTACCCACGCCATGAAGAACAAAACATGCGGAACCGAATTAGCTGCGTCAAATCCAAAAACGCTGAAAATTAACACCTCGTTGTGGTAAGACTACATGTTTTGCAACTGTACTTGTAGCATGGAAAAACCACTGTCAAAACAAGAAAAGTTGGATGCATGTAAAAACCACTGTAACGGTGTACTTCAAACAGTGCCGAAGTACATTGAAACTCACAAAACGCCACGGCCGTCTATGCACCGTTGTCCTAGTTCTAGCTGAGACATGTGGGATATACCCCTGCACGATGTAGATGCAGCTCGTTTAAGAAGCAGGCAAATAAACGGCCATAGCTATTGAGAGTGTATGCCAACTTTTGGGGGTTGTGTACAACCATGGTCGTACAACGAAAAACCCCAACTGCAACTGCGCCCCCAGTAAGAGATGATGTTAATGTTGGGATATCCTGACATCCCACAATCATTGATTATAACGTTTACAAAAGTGCGGTAGCTTGAGACCATAAACTTCTATCAACAACCTAATCCCAGCATCAGTGAACGAAGAGCAGCCAATCTTTCTTGATATACCAGTACGTTTGCTGTATTATGAAAAACACATATAAAACCATATAAAACCTTTTAAAAACTGGGGTAGATCTCAAAAGACCTGAGGATTTGTTGGGGAGTTTTTGGATGATGCTGATCACGGGCCAAGGAGTGGTGGCCAAGAATGCGCGGGCTTTTTGGAATGTGCCCGGCAGCCTAGGGGAAGAAACGCGAACTGCTGCCATTCTTCCCAGATGAACATGGAATCGGAATAGATGATGATCAACCATTAAATTTACGATTTTACGCTTATCGTATTTTGGGACACATGCTGATGTTCCCTCAAATTGTCTCATGAAAGGGACCGGGAACATATGGGCATTATGGGCAGCATTCTTTTTCAGGATGCAACTTAGGGTTCCCGGAAAACGCAGTTGTGCAAACCAAAACTTGGTGCCCATTTTTCTTCTGATCCAACAGATACTGTTTAAACCATTTTCAAACCTCATATATATATATATATATATTTATATTATGGATATTATGCCGCCATTACACCCTTATATTATATAATCGTTGGGTTTATAAACATGCCCAATTTCTGAAGTAATCCCCTGTTCTCGGGTCCGAAGCACATTTTCAGATCTATCCCCCAACGTCGTCGACGGTTCAATCCGCAGGGTTTTACCTTCCCCGTTTTGAGGTCATTGCCCGTGTTGCAAAGTCCCGGAGGTCGCCTGGTAACCCTGGTAGGGCACCAGCTGCCATCAGAGATGCTGATGATTTCACGGGGTGAAGTGCCGTGGGAATTGGGTGTGACGGTCACACCATTGGGGTCTTAAGCGCATTCTAAGTAGGTCCTACACTGAAAACCAGGTGAAACTGCCCGTCTTGACAGGCAATGAGTGCAGCGCCATGATTTTGTTGAGTCGATTTGTTGATTCATAGAGGCATAGAGGTGACATTTGCAGATGGGACATGCCCTTCCAGGTGCCCACATCACCAAGTATCACATTGTGAAGCCCTACAAGGATGGAGTGCGGATGCCCAGCTATTTGCATCCCTAGGTAAGTGGTGCATGACCATGGAAATACATGGAAATACAAGCTTTTTTTCAAAAAATGATGTTCTTGATCTTGCTTTCTGTGGGATTTTTTCAGTTTGATATGGATCATTAAGCACTAAAGTAGGACACGAGATGCACATCCAAGAGGAAATGCTATTGGAACTGTGACCCAGGGGACCCCTTTATTGCGCCGGAACTCAGGTGGACTATGATGACTTCTTGGTGGCCCTGCCGGAACGAGACCACCTCAATAGTTTTACGAAGGAAGTGCCACTCTTCTTGCGTTACCTGAAGGCATGGGAGTGGATGAAGGGGAAAAAAGGTGGATTTATGGAATGTTCTCTACAAGTTGGGCAGGTGCTTTGATATGCCACTGTTCACGCAGCCGGAGTTTCTTCCGTTTCATTTTTCGTACTTGTTCTTTTTTGAGACCAGGAACACCGGAGACACGCACAGCTTTGGATGTGTTTGTAGCGCATGACAAGACAAGTGAGATCGTTTAGCACAACATCAGAGAGAACTGTTGAATCTGTAGACGACGAGATTGGATAGAAAAAAATGAAACATCCTCTCCAGAAGTAGACTCCTCTTTTAAACATACTCTCCAGAAGTAGACTCCTCTTTTAAACATACTACATTTAAACATACAGTACTCATGAATAGCTTGTTAGATCTTGTTAGAGTATCCCCAGTATCCCCCTTGGACCGCAGTCGGACCGCCAGGTGGTCACCGACCAGGAGGGCCGCGCTGAGGCCTTCAAGGCTTTCTTGGAGCGTGCGAAGACGGGGCTGGTGGCCACTGGGCTGTGAATGGCCAAGGATTGGCCAACGGTTGGCCCTGGGGGCAGTTTTGCCAAGTGTTTTTTTTTGGTTTGCAATGTGATTTTTCCGGGAAGCGATTTCTTCCCCTGCAATGTGATTCACTGTTTGTTTTGGTCCCGAAGTTTAGGACATCGCAAGGGTTTGGCATTCCTTCGTTTTGAGAGAGGCGGTGTGGGATCTAGGAATCTAGGCTCAACTGAACGATATGGATATGGGTCAATACCTATAGATACATTTTTAGTGGGATGAACATCCATTTACCAGCTATTTTGATGTTCACCAGGGGTACAAGGTTTTGACACATCCCCATATCTGCGGATGAGAGGGATCAAATCAAGCCACGTGTCAAAGTTCATGGTCAATGACCTCAGCATTCTCCACGCAGGCAGCTAGAGCTGAACAGCTCTGGTGTGGTGCATCGAAGCGTTTCACCTGAAATGACCAGCTGACCAGCTGATACCAGCTGTAAGTTATGGACATTCCTTTGAGGGTTGGCTCATAAGGATACTAATCATCCAGCACATCCGACCAGAAATTTCTGTCATTTCTGAATTATCATTGCATTCTATCCCGCCTATCCCCAAATCATTTGTTGCTCCTGAATTTCTCTTTGCTGAAGAAATTGGTTCATATCTGTTTTTTTTTTTGGTGGCTTTACCCGATAGCCCAGGGGTTTGAGTCCTCATCTCTGGGCAGCCGGTTGCGAGGTTGAGAGTGACGTCTATATCACCGCGGAGGAATTGCTCGCCCCTTGCCAGTGGATTTGGAATGCTCAATTCATCCCCACCCAAAAAGGATCGTTCTGACTCACCAGGCACAAATTCAGGAGTTTTCCAACAGTTGATGGTGTCCTTTAAACACATTTTATGTTGACATTTTGGGTTTACCGGGTAAATGTTCCTGGGATTAGTCCTTTTTTGAGCTCGTCCACAGTCCCTTCTCGGGCCTTCTCGGCCTGGCCACAGGCAGTGATGTGGAAGAACGGCTATTCGGATGCCGAGAGAAATGCGATTCAGCCACTTGGCATCCCATCATCCCATGAAGGAAGTGGCAGCGCTGAGTTGATTCAAGCGACATTCTGAAGAATGGTCGAAGATACATGAAGGTACTATCACGTTACTATCTAGATGTGGGATGATGTGGGGATACGTGGGGTGTTCCTCTGAAATATCGCTAACACCAGTTGGATAATGTTGGATAATGTTGAAGGATTCATCGATGCCAATGGAATCCCTTCATAGGATCCACATGGATCCACTATCCGGGGCCTATCCCTGTCCCTATATTTGAGAGCTCAGTTTTGGGAGACTCATCAGACTACCAGGAACTGCCTATCTGCCCAGAGGTGAGCCTATACCCAGATGGGAGTCGATCAGCCAAGGTTCACCTTCCCCAACGACTACAAGTTTCACTACCCGGAACTGTCAGCCATGTTCGACCCTCGCCCAGCGAATTCGGGTACGGGGGTACTGAAGAAAGGTCTCGACTCTGTGCCAGACTCTGAGCTATCCAAGCCTGAGGACTAAGAAGGCAACCCAGAGGAGGTATTTAGAGACTCTAAGAGTGCAGGATTGATATTCCCAGACTGATGTGTTCCATAGAACGAAGCAGGGTTGTTTCATGTCTTGCTTCCACATTTTAGACGACGGCCATCACACAATTGATACAGAGTCTGCAAACCTAGTAGGCCAGGGTACTGTACAGTACTCAATTCTTGCGCATACCTTTTTATAAGAAATCGCAATAGTTGGACGGTTGGAGGACCATAACTATATTATAACTATCATAACTCATATTTGACTCCAGCGTCTTGACTTTGTGATCCCTGAAGTTGGATGGTAGAGTTTCTCAGCCACATCTCCCAGAGGTTAGACCTGGGGGTCTGCAATATTTACCCTCATGAAAATGACTGGTAAATACAATGTCAATATTATGTCAATACTATAAATATCTATAAAAATTCTATAAAATTCTATAAATACTCATGGAGATTTTCCAATAAAATGTCTAAACCCACAGAGGAATGGAAACCATTGATAGACGCCTCGTCGACTCGCCATTTGAGGATATCCCAGAGGAGGAAACCTACAAGTTCTGCATGCGCACTCGCATGGAAGATAGTCACTTGATGGTGCTGGAGAAAATGGTGGGCAAAAACGCATCTTATCGCCAGTAAAAAATGGGGAACATGATGATCCCATTTTTGTAATGTTTCAGATTTCGAAACGACAAAAAAAGCACAGTTCAACAGTTGGTTTCCTGCACGAAAGTTGGAGGATAAAGTGATGGATTCTTCTTGGGTAGTCATAAGATTTCATAAGATTTCATATTTCTTAGACATGTCCAGCCCATGTCCAAGTAGAGGCAGCTCTTGGATCGCTTGGATGTGACCGGGAAGAAGCCCTATCAATTCATGCGGCATCCGAGGCCATATTGGAGAACTGGATCATTCCAAGGCGACGTCAACGGGAAAGGATGGGAAAGGCTTGTGGTTGAGTCCCAATTTGTGGATCATCTTGGAATCATCCAAGCAAGCTGTTATAGCATGTTATAGCATGTTATAGCTACTTTCCATCGCTATTGACATATCCGCTGACATTCAGTTTTCGGTTTTCATTTGAAATTCTCGACTCTACATCTACATCTGGCAAAGCCAGCCACCAATTCGAAGAAGGTTGCCGGCTTGTTTGCTTCCTTCTGTTTTCTTTTCACATAGCCTCTCAGCAGCTAGGTTTGCTACTGGAAGCCGTAGTCGCACAGGAAGCATATTGCTTCATTGCTGTACAGAGTGCGCATTTGTACTGTTTTCATGACTCCAAGGCTTGCTACTGTAAGTGGTTTCCCAGTGAATCCTTTCGAGATCCTGGGGACCCGGGACATTTGAGATGTTTGAATAATTGAAATAAGTTCATTCTCTTTGGGCTTGAAAAACAACTAGCCTTGCTTGCCTCCGCAACTTTTGGCTTTCAGGTCTAGAAACTGAGACTGCGAGCCGAGGATAATTAGGTCAGTTTCAAAATGACTTTCGCAGCAAAACTGATCACTTGATTCCTTCACCCCGATGGAACCTCTCCTCCAAGTACATGGTATACTCGGATATTTTAAGTTGTTTGGGATGCGACCACTGCTGAATATTACCGGCTCCCCAGGCCATAACTATCAGGGAACAACGGCTAGTTGAAAGACATGCAGTCCTGCTGCCAAGCAGCCTACCAACTGCCGCGAGTTGTACATACTACTATTTTCACTACCAGCAGGACATGAAAGGGGATGCTCATGGATGCCTCTAAAATGGTTTTGGAAATCAATTTTAGAGGATATTCGTTCACAAGATTCGCAATGTCAACACTCTTCCCCATAGTTACACCAGGATTTAGAGGCAAAGGTCACCAAGTCGATCCCTGGCGCTGACGCCATGGAAAAAAGTCTTTGGGCAGCATCAGATCGACACCAGCGACACCCATTGGTGATGTCATGTCCCAAAAGACATCCTGAACTCAGTCAATGGGAATGACTCAGGATCCAATTGATGGAGGTACGTTAGTACCATATTTTTGGCCATATTTTGTGGAGATATTCCCTGAAATTTAGGCCTGAAAAATAGGCCTTATATATGGTAGGTACCTCCGGTTTAGGTTCCTGAAATGGCCATTGACAAGGATGAGGTACAGGCTACAGGCTTTCTGTTTTTATGTTTTCTAATCATATTTAATCAACCTGTGAGGGTTTTTCCGGCGGCCAGTCGGCTCAGATTCCGGCAAATTCACCTTGGTTATCCCCCCATGAACCCATTATAAGGACTCCCTAATGATGGTGGGATGACCAGACCCCATTCATCCCATCCCATCAGGGGAGAGAGAGAGCACCACAAGTTCTTTAACCTCTCCAACTTCGACAGCCGATGAGGGAGATGGACTCCTGGCTGTGGTGGTGAGTAACTAGAGATGCCAAACATTTGCAAGCCGATGCCAAACATTAACCTCTGGTAAACTAACATAGCTATTGAAAATCACCATTTATAGTGGATTTTCCCATTAAACATGGTGATTTTCCATAGCTATGTTAGTTTACCAGAGGGTAACCTCTGCAATTTGATGAGTTCCGAAGGCCCCGAGAGTTCTGGTTGACGGTCTGACCAAAGCTGAAAGACCCAGCTACGGAAGATGGCCTGATGCAAGGGGTTGGTAAGTGTCTCTGTACATATTCATACGCCACGAGACATGACAAGCATTTTGTGGCTGGGTCCATTGGTACCCAACTGTTGAATATCACCTATAGTATCCTATAGCAACGCTGTGGGAGACTGCTTGGAACAAGGAGGACAGAATCTTTTTCGGCGGCTGGTGGGATTTCTGACCTTGCACGCCTCTCGACGTGAACGCTGGGAGATGCTGGGAGGTAAGGAGGCGGTTCCCTAAATTTTTGCGACGTTTTTGGTGGGTGAATTGGCAGCAAAATTGGCATCTAGGGCTTGAATGCTTTTGAATAACTGAGCGATATTGTGTGCATCCCAGAATTATTTCAAGGAAATATGTACAGAAAATCCGTGCATTTGATAGTTCAAAATCTATGGTTTCCCCTAACATGTGCCCCAATTCAACCTGATTTTGACCCATAGGCCCATGGCCCATAGAGCCTTATCATGGCAGTGCAGTCGGTCGCTAAACCAAGCTTTGTCAAGGTCCTGGCCTTACTTGCACCTTGGCAAAAAGACTTCCAGGTGAAACTGCTACGACAGGCAGCCTATTCTCAAACATGGGAATGGGTCAAAATTTAAGATCCAGGGGACCAGATATTTTAGTACATTTTTAACATTAACCAATATTAACCATCTAAGTATTGGGGTACAAAATCTTACTGTAACTCATACCCATATCTTCAACAGGATGTTCTTTCAATACTCCACGGGTTCATCAAGATCTGGATCTTTCTTTTGCTGGGTCAAGCGATGCAAAAGCTTTGAAGGTCGGGCCAGATGGTACTCGTAGCAGAATGTGGTTGGTGACTGATGACGCTGATGTCAAGACAGAGGGTATACCCTGGTTAACCACGCGAAAGTGTTTCATGTTTTTCCGCAATGTAAGAGTGTCTTTTCTGCAACTAAAACAACCATTTGTTTCGCAATTAGCCAGTATCCTCTGAATAAGTCTGAGCATAGGTTGCTGTCCCCTTTGTAATTATGACGAAGGAGGGGCCCTGCACATCATACACTCGGTGCCTTGCAAGTTGAACAGAATTGAGTCGAGAACACACGAGTATTTGAACTGGTCCCAAATTTGAGAAGCACATGCTTGTGTGAAGTGAGCAAAGAATCTCAAGTGAATCCGAACAAGGCAGATGTGGCCACGCTGATCGATTTTCTCTACGGCGCAAATCACCAATTGACGCTTTTTTGCACGTGGTCCTTGGCCATTTGGGATTCCCATCAAAATTTCGAGGCTCAGCCTTCGTGTTCTGTTTTGAGGCTGTATCGGCTCCAAAAAAAAGGGGGTAAAAGCCTCAGTCCAGCATGAAATGGGCTAAAATCTCACAGTAAATGGAAATCCCACTCAATTCTGTCAATTCTAGCAAATTTGCAGGGATCTGATAGAGCCCCAGGATTGAAGCCTCTCCCCACCCGTCCCTCGTGCAGCTGCAGGATGTTGTTTGTAAGCGGTCCCATCATTCTGTCAGGCTTGGTGTGCAACTTGGGCCGGACTCAGTGGCTGTTGGAACTTGAAAGGATTTTCAATACGGTGATTTAACAGGAAAACCTGGATATATCTGGATATCACTTTGATGTCATGGGAATATCACCAACAATATCCATTTGTATGAGGATGGTGATTAAAATATGACCCTTCCCCACATGGACCCCCTATTAGATAGGGGGTTGGACGATTTGTTTCCACGAAAATTGGCGAATTTTCGGGTCTCGGACGGATGGTTGATGATGGTGTTTGACCCAGCCTGACCTGCCTGGATGAGGCACTCATGCTGCATGGGGGGCAGAGCCTACACAGCTGCAGTGGCCATGGGGATTGCCCCTGAAGGACCAGCCACTTCTACTGCAGCTTGGTCTGCGATGGCGAAATACCATGTTTTTTAAGACAGAAGTAGAAATAAATGTGCATGAATAGATTTGCATCAGATTATACAGCTTGGGTAAGCTGCAGCTTCCGTCTTTGGAGCAGATCAGATTGAACTAGATTACATTGAGGTTTGGTTAGTTTCCTAGATTGACAGCTAGATCCTCACGCAGCAATCTATGTCATTCTATGTCATGCCGGACATTGGACAGCCCTGTGACAACCATACTGGCGTGGATCAAGCTTCTTGAACCCTCAGCCCACCTTGGTCACATGCAAGTACTGAACCATCCGGTTCTTTTAACAACTTCAACGCGCCATCCAGTGAAAATCATCAACTGCTCCAACAAATGAGCGCTGCCTAAGGAGAGCTGTCCTCTCCATACCTCTGGGTGTCTTGGCTTAGCCAAACCACAGCATTTCGTCAAGCACGTATACCTACGGGTGCCCTCGAGGGTATGGGTCAAAATACCAAACTTCAGGCATCAGCAAATTCATGCAAATTTCATAGGTATGAAAATAAACAAACCTCGTGCTTCTCTAGCACTTAAAAAGGGTACGAACAAGAATCCAAGAGCCAGGGGATCTACTGGGAATCTGGTCTGTATCATTTATATTCGCATTTTTGGTGTGACGTCAGTGGCTGCTTGAGGTTTCATGCAAGGCGTCATTATTTTGCTGGCCTGGGATCAATACTTGGAACGCAAGAATCATCACGAGACAGGCAGTCAGGACTGGTGGACCGTGCTACCACTTGGAATTGGTTTCATCCCATTTAACGGGGAGAGAACCCTGCTGGTTGTGGCATTTGCACCATCATCTACAACTGGTCACATCCCATACGTTGACATATCGGAATTGCTTTGGAGGCCCCTTATGCTGGGTTCTTTAGGATTATTTCGGCATCATCGTCAAAAGAATATCAAGGCTTAGGATTCAGCGCAGGACAAGTGGAATCGATACCACTGCAAAGCAGTGGCGTCGCTCTGCGAGGGACTGCCAGTGTTCTCCACGATCATCTATGCTGCGTGGCGGATGAGCCCTGGCACAAATTCCGCTTGTCTCTAGGATCATGGCAGAAGTGACGATCGTGATCAGTACGGTGTTAGGGATGATGAATGCTGATGCCTCCGCCAAGGAATTATCCACCTGAGAAGCCCGTAATGAGTACATCTTGGCCGATGGAGCAGTATTTTCTGAGCATCTTGGTGTCCTAGTTGGGACCAGGTCTGAGCCGCAAGTGACCACAGATGTAAGTCATTCTTTAGTAACTTTAGTATGCAGTCATTTTTGGAATTTTTGGGGGACCTCAAAAGAATTCTGGTCTTGAAGTCACATTGTTTCTTGCATGCTTTGAACATTCAAGCATAAATCGCCAAGGGGGTAATCTAGGCACCTAAATAAACAGCCTTATTTGGGGACTATCTTAAGGCATGCCAAAGAACCTACAACAAATACAGTGGATTGCCAATTCATTCGGTCACAAAAACTTCAGGTCCTCAAGTCTGGGAACACCAGGAACACCAACTTTGACTTCAACGCAGCCCGAAAAAAACGGGAAAGGTAAGAAAACCATACAACTGAAAGAAGGTTGGCATACTTTTTTGCGCGTTTTATTTTTAAATCAATCTGTTTGGAATTTGGCATACAAATCACGAAAGGTAGCTCCAGAGGGGCTACCTTGAGTTTTACTTTACGAAGTAAAGGGGAGGGCGGCCAGCCCCGTTACCTGATTCTTCAGGAGATTGCTAGTCATTTTAGTACCCCCCCCCCTCCACACCTCCCACGCACCCTAAGAGCAGACTCAAAACATTGTAATTTACAGTATTTTTGTTCTTTTCGGATCAAGAAACCACATTTTGCTACATGGTGAAACCTCCGTAAATACCAGTGTTTTTGCTAGGTGCTGGCCAAAAAACACTGTAAATACCGTGCTTTTTACTACCAGAGGCAAAAAACATCGTAAATACCGTGGTTTTGGGCTTCCGACCCGCCAAAAACATCGGTATTTACGGTGTTTTTTGCTCCGAGAGTTGCAAAAACACGCGAAAACACCACCGATTTGACGATTTTCGGCCACTACGGAACCGAGCAAAAACGCTGCAGGGGTAACACCAACACCAACAACAACAACAACACCAACAGCAACAGCAACAACAACAACGACGACAACAACAACAACAACAACACCAACACACAACGCACAATGCACAACGCACAACGCACAATGCACAACGCACAACGCACGCACAACGCACAACGCACAACGCACAACGCACAACACACACACACACACACACACACACACACAACACACACAACACACACAACACACACAACAACACACAACAACACACAACAACACACACACACACACACACACACACAACACACACAACAACACACACACACACACAACAACACACAACAACACACACAACAACACACAACAACACACAACAACACACAACAACACACAACAACACACAACAACACACAACAACACACAACACACACACACACACACACAACAACACACAACAACACACAACAACACAACAAACACACAACAACACACAACAACACACAACAACACACAACAACACACAACAACACACAACAACACACAACACACACACACACAACAACACACAACAACACACAACAACACACAACAACACACAACAACACACAACAACACACAACAACACACAACAACACACAACAACACACAACAACACACAACAACACACAACAACACACAACAACACACAACAACACACAACAACACACAACAACACACAACAACACACAACAACACACAACAACACACAACAACACACAACAACACACAACAACACACAACAACACACAACAACACACAACAACAACAACAACACAACACAACAACAACAACAACACCATCAACAGCAGCAGCAGCAACAACAGCAACAGCAACAGCAACAACAACAACAACAACACGAACACGAACAATACCAACACCAACAACACGACCAACAACACCAACACCACCAACAAACCCAACCACAACCACAACACTAACAACACTAACAACACTAACAACACCAGACAACACCAATACCAACAACACCAACAACACCAACACCACCAGCACCACCAACACCACCAACACCACAACCACCACCAACCCCAACCACATCGCCGAAGCCTTTCAGTCGCTTTTACCAGACTCCCCTTCATATTTTTGGAAAGAAAATGGCCGCGTCGCTTTTACCAGACTCCACTTTATGTATTTTTCCCTCCCCTCTCCCCTTCATTTTTTTTTCGGTTCCTTTCTTGCTTACCTACCTTTCGTGTTCCCCCTCTCAAGTCATTATTGTGACCGGGTTGATGGACCGGATGCGAACATTGCACATGACATATACATTTGTGCAATCATTCACACATATATGTACTCAAACACATACCCGCAGGCACATGGACATACCTGCACATGGACCTATTTGGACATAGACACAGACACACTGCTGACACACAACACACCTGCTCAGAACTGTCTTATCGAATTTGGATGTGGAATGCATCAGTCGCGCAAACACACTTCATACAATATAATATGTTAATATATATATATAATATACATACTGTATATACACAATATATATATATATCGAACAGGATCAAAGAAATCGGACACAACAGGAGAGTCCACAAGTTCCTAGCAAATGAAGTCCAGTAATATCAGCAGTTGTCCCATCCCCTTCCAAATAAATGAAATAAATGACGCGCCAAACATGGTGTCGGAGCTATCATCGCCATAGCCAGTGTTGTAGTCACAGCTAAAAATTGGTTGAAAAGATGGCGACAACCGTACATCTAAAATCAACATGGCGGTTCTTGGCTTAGCCGCTTGCCATGCAGACTTGGAAATGAGATTTGAATAGCAGGTACGTCGATCCAGCGTCCCAGATCGAAATCACAGAATGTCATAGCCGTCTTCGTTGGTTGCAGAACTATGATATTTCCTGCAGCCCCCTGAAATAAAAGTTCAGGAACAACAAACGGCAGGACAAATTCAAAAGGTACAGCTTTTACATCTATTGAGATTGAGATGGTTCACACACACACGCGCATCGATAGATCGAGATATTAAAAAACACACAAGAAGGCACACATGTCCATACGCATACATAGACAAACGTACAGATACATAGACATAAGTAATGACATGAATAAGGCGATATTTAATGATATTGTATTATAATATATATATACATCCATCTTAGATTTCAGGGGTGCATGTTATCGCAGGTACAATGGCCCTCATTGAGTTCTTTTCCTGCGGTTTCGGCATTGTCGAGCTGGACTTTTGTTGTTCCTTGGGTTGGCGGATCAACTATGCTGATGGCACAACGGGTTCCTCATAAATCATGGTTAGTAAGGGGAGTTATCACCAAAATAGCTGATTTATGACTTGTGAACTTTAAAACAGTCATATCATTTGGAATCCTGGATACCCCAAAAAGACTGTTCAATATGATAAAAACAAGGAATTTGGGGTACCCAATTTCAGGCAATGGAAAATTACATATTTGGTGATGGATCAGAATTATCACCAGCTACAAAGTGGATGTTGAAATAGGTATATAACCCGATTCGGTTACCACCCTTGCCAGGTCCATCCTATTGACGTTCAATTCGACATACGCATGTGTTTATACCTGGATCCTCTTGATCGTGGAAATTTCAAAATCGATCAATTTTGCCAAATTCAAGAGAAAATTGAGAAAAAGAACTCCTGAACGGTTATTTCCACTCCAGAACGTTTTTTTTTAAATTTCTTTCGCTTCCGAACGGTTTTGAACGCTTTTTTTAACGCTTTTTGAACGGTTTTTTCCACTCCAGAACGCCCGAAGTGTCCCGAACGGCAAAAACCAACTCCGGTGTTCTTTTTTCCACACCAACCCCCAAAATCGTTTTTTTTGGGTTTGGAGTTAAAAACATTCAGTATTGGGAAGCTCCAGGTAATGTTTATAGGCTCAGGATTTGAGGAAGGGGTATGAATCACCGAATCACCCATTGCAATATTTTCGTTATCCTCTTGGGTCCATGGCTCCATATGGCGTGTGGCTGCTGTAGATCCCATGTCCCATTGGGCACAGTCCACGCATGGCAGCATGGCAGCATTTCTCAAGACAGGGTACCAATGGACCCTAAAATGGCAGGTCATTTTCAAGTTTCAGCACCCCTATCAAACTATACACTTTTGGGGAGTGAATTATATTCAACCATATACACCTGACCTCTGACTAGGATCCATTTGTGTGTGTCAGGTTCCAAGACCGTATCAAAGAGGATGAGGACGACAAAGACGCTTGGAGAGAGCGGCGGGCGGGTGGAGAACTTGTGCTTTGGGGCGCTTTGGGGTGAATGTTCTTGCACAGACAGGACGATAAAATCCAACCCAATAGCGAGCTATGGTGTACATTGTACACAAAGAGGTTGTCGCAGCTGTTGAAGCCTCAGGTGGTATGAGTTTCTTCATTTCTATTTTCGTGTTTCCGAATTTGCGACTGGGTGGCAACTAAGTTGGTATTTCTGTGTGTGTGGATTTGGAAGTGAGAACCGCAGCGCTGCACAGAACTCTTGCCCAAGTCTTGGATTCCAGTCTAGACTTGGCGTGTTCAGTTTGGTCAACGTTCCAAGATTTCCTTGTGTTGCTTAAGATCATTGAATATCCTAAAAATCATCCGCAAATTCCAAAGTCTTGACACCCGGTCTTTTCAACTCAGGTGGTCAGAACTCTTTTGCATGTTCCTCGGCCTGGGCGCTGTGGATGCTGTCGGTGGGACTAGACCCTCCTGTGGCTCCAGCGCAAATAGCAGCGGGTATGACTCCCAACCCCACCACAAAGATGATATTTCCGTTGATCATGTCACTGTAGAACATCTGAAATCTGAAATCTGAATGGTTGAGTAGACCAACCTGATCCAGTGTAGCAGGTCACGAGTGTTCTTGGTGTTGTGCGTTCAGACTTGACATGACTTGACTTGCTTAGCCTTGCCACTTTTTCAAACTACCAACCTACATCAAAGATCATCAAAGATCATCAAAGCAGATAAGGGTTGGGATCCTTTCAGCCTCATGGGTCATCACGGTCATCATGGGAGCATCACTGTCATCACTGTTGGCCCAACGTGACACCACCGCGAGGTCGCTTTCTTGGTGTTGACGAGGTGGTTGGTGTCCTGGTGGTACCTTGGATGCCTTGGATGCCGTGAGGATGCCTTGGAGGACGTGAGGACTTGGGGATAATCCAACCATGGCGATATTTCGATGGAGATCATGGTTGGCCATGGCGATATTTATGGGTTATTTATGGTTATTTATGGAGATTATATAATGCAGATATTATGAGTGGTATTTATATGGGAATATGGCGATATCACAAGTTATCACTGATTTTGACTGCAGGTGGTGTCCTTTTGTTTTTGGCAACCTCGTCTTTCAGTTCATGGTAGCAACTTGGATTCAAATGAGTCATGGCTGGTGCCCCAGTACATGACCTTGGTCCATAGCCGCCGTGCCATTCCGCAGGAATGGCAAGCAACTTCTGATCTTGGTGGCCTTACATTTCGCCCGCATGCCTCCAGTACAATGTACAAGTATGTATCATCTTGTATCGATCTTTGGGTATGGGTCCAAAGCTCATGACCATTCATGACCCTCTGGAAGATTTCTTTTCCTTTCAGTACTACTGGTGATTGGGGCAATACGCAATACGCAATTTGTAAATGCCGGAGTTTCTTGTTGGCTTAAAGTTGTTTGATTTAGTAATTTAGTAGGTACGATTTATAGAGTTGGTACATTTCTCAATTAGATCTCAATTGGATTCAATCAGCCATTGATGATTTTGCTTTGAAAAGCCTCATTTACTGGAGGGGAAATCATGGGAAATCCCTCATTTTTTTAAGACCTCCCGAGGTCTTAATCCACGGTGGGGACGAGTCCAAAACAACGGTGCGACTCTTGTGCGGTGTCTTGGCGAAATGGCTTGTTGCAGGTTTTTTGAACTATACTGTAGTCATTTAAGTCCAGATGAAGAAGTACATGGTTAACATGAGGGAATGGCATGCAAACACCCAAATTTTGACCCCTAGATGGTGCTAGTGGTGCCCTTTTTATGCTGTTTTCTTCCCTTGTTCTGTCCATTCAAAGTAATTATCCTCAAGTGACCAGCTCCGCGGCAAGTCCCATAGGTTTGGCGTGCGCCTGGGTGAACATCTTTTTTTTCGTGGACTCGCCCTATAAGCGCCGCGCCGCACGGAAGATCTCGTTTTGGTGACTCGTTTGAGATGATGTTCGTGTTTTTTGGGTGGGAGGCGGGGAGGGGGTTTAAATTATCTGTATACACATACTATATACATCTAGAATGTGATATATATCATATGTATTATATGTCTACTGTATATACAGTATATATATATAACATATATATATATATTTAATCTTGGCACTGAAAAAGATAGAATGATATCGGTATGGCACTGCATCCCCAGGGTCAAATGGGAACATAAGCACACGACACTTTTGGTAGCATGTGGTGAACGAATCATTTTTATGACCCGCTCTTGCTCCTGGCCCTTCTTGCCCTCCGGGCGACGGCCTCTATTGCCTAAAGTCGCTCTCTGAAGCTACAAGAAACTAGCTACAGTATCTTCTTGCTTTTGCTGCTGCTTTCTCCTGCCTTCTTGCTCTTGCTCCTGGCCCTCCAGTCTACGGTCCGTTTCTTTCGTCCCATTTCGTCGCTTTTTCTATCGCTGCCACCTTGCTCGCATGCTCTTGCTCCTTGCTGTCTTCGTTTCTCTGCTTCCCTCTCTCTGGCTCTTGTTGTTTGCTCTCATCATTTCTTGCCCCTGGCTGATTGTAATGTTTTCTCTGACGCGCTCCCCCTTGCCGTCGGCGGGGTCGGCGGATATATATATATATATATAATTATATATATATAGTTTCTTATGTATACGTATTTCGATGTAATGCCATATGTAGGCATACACATGCTCATACATAATTATTTGTACGTGTATATACGTATATGTAAAACCCTGCAGTCAAATGCTAAGGCATATCTGCAAGTATATCGTAATATAATCTTGAAGACATGTAATTTACACTATGCCCAAACACATACAGTTAAATTATATACTATATATATAATATATATATATATTAATACACATATATATATAATATTTAATTTGTATATATATATATTATGTGTACATGTATATCGCGACAGGAATATAAGGTATGGTTGTGGATCAACACCCTGGTACAAGTATCCTGGTGAACACCCACAAAAATCTTGATAGGAATGACCCTTACCCAGGATTTATATACCCATCTCAAGGGTTCTCATTATAAGATAGATGTCCGTACCACATATACCATTTTTGACGATGGCACTTATGAATGGTCTGCAGATGAATGAAGAGCTGGCAACATCCTTATTTTTTAGCCCAGAAACTTGCTATCAAACATTTGGACATTTCCAACAAAATAAGGGATACAACCTTTGGCAATCTAACACGGTATGTAACTGGAAGTCCCCAGTCAGGGAAACAGGGAGTTGGTGGGTTTTTCTATTGCAGGAACCCCTAGATTTCCACAGTATACCACAAGGCAATTTCTTTCAGAGTTTTCTGACCAAAAGGGGAATGGGGCTGTCCTTATTTAGGACTCTCCCTGGTGCTACGGCGCATTTCGACAATGCAGATTGATGGCGGAAGTGACGAATGCCGAATGATGGACCTCCAAAGATCAAATTCCCAACCTCCTGACATACTCGGATGGCATCTCACACAGTAAATTGCTAATGACCCTTGACCCTAGACATTCCATGCCATATACTGTATCAATCTGTATCACATATCTGTCCCAGGATCATGAACTATGGTCCGACTATATGGTCACTTCCAGCTGGTTGGTCCAGTGGCTCAGGTTTGAGGCGCGATTCTTTTCGGAGCTCTTGCTGCTTCCTATGCTGGCATATTTTGTGCTGTGGTCACATGATCGTGTGGACGACCTGGAGAAGATTGTCACCTTGCATCTGTGGATTTTTCAGCTAATGCTGCTTGGATGCCGGCCATAGACTGAGGGCAGAGCGGTATGGCATAGACAGTAAACATCCAGTAAACATCCGAAGGATATCCAGAAGAGTTTTCTTTGTGATCGGAAAGGAGTACATATCAAAAGTATTGATCCCCATTTTGGGATGGTAAATACTGCGATGGTTGACCACTTCAACTGTCACCATCAGATACCACCATCTAAGTTCAAAATCACCAGCACCAGCACCCTCATCGTGGTCGTCGTCATCATCATCAACAACAACAACGGCTATGACCAACACCTGAATCAGTCCCAGTCGCCATGATTGGTCGCAGCTGAGGATTTTTACCATCCTGTCGTACATCATCCTGCGGATCTACATGCACTACACCCTTTGCAGGCGGATGATTTTCCAGTACCGTTTTAGGAAAGCAACTGGGATTGTTGCCCGAACAGGCAGCTTTAGTAGGTAGAGTGGGCCACGGAAACTCGCCTGGTGATGGGATTTGTTTTTCCAGCCAAGCAATGTTCATCAAATCCACGTGACCGGCGAAGGATTTTGGGCTGACTGTTGAAAGGTCTTGTTGGGCCCTCTGCCTGATCTCCCCCTCTTGATCATGGTCGGAACTACTGCTGCTTTCTCTGTTTTGACAACTGGAAAACCCAACTCTGGTCGTTATCCAAGGCTTTTGCACCCAGTATTTTTGGCGGGTGGGACGACCAACCCCAATGAATGTGTGACCATTGACCCATGTGGCCACAGGCAAATGAACCTCATCGATATCTACACTCCCAGTGAGGAGGGGGACAAGGACAGCCCGACAGTTGGGCCGACCCGGCTGTCCTCAGGAGGATTAAAACAACCTGTTCCCAGAGGTTGGAATTGAGACATCTGGGACAAACTTTGCCACAACTGAAGCGCAGACCAAAATGTGCTTGATTTTGTGTAAACGCTCACTTGTAACACGTGAAAATGGCCGTCAGGTGGCCATTTTTTAGTGATAAGTGGGGTTGGTCATTCGTTTCACTCCTCAATCACCATAGAAACATCACTGCAAGAGGCAACTGATGACTCATGAGGAGAAAGTGCAAGAGGTGATGGATGCGCTGGTGGCAGAGGCAGGATGGCCAGCCGATGGGCTTTCGTTGGTGACTCAACAGGATGTGCTCCTCTGTGATGGTGCATGGATGACTAAAAAACCAGACGGTTGCGTTGCGAATTTCTGCGATCCTGCGGGTCGTGGTCGGAGCATGATCGGAGTATGTATCAAACACATGGCAACGCGGCAACGCATAGTTTTGAGATGTTTTGACTTGGGAAAAGCATGGAAAAGCCGATCCCTTGGGATG